GGAAGCAGATTCCGGAAGGGGCTATGGTGGCTTAGACCACTACTTGGATGGTCGCATATTTTACGATTATGACTATTCGCTCGTGCGTTGCTATGGTAAGAATTTAAAAGTTGAACCAGTCAAATTTATATCCTAGCTAGATACACCTCTTCATAATAGTGCAACCATCTTCTCAAAATTCTCCATCCAGCCTTGTTCCTAACAATCTCTAATGTAAAAACATAAAAAAAAAAAAATATTAGTTGGATTTATAATTTTGTCCTATATGGCATATACTTTAAATTGGTAAAATAATGAGGACATATTATAATTTTTTTCAAAAAGTAAATTTGTATGTTCTTTAAATTGTAACTGTTCGGACGAAATCAGATAAAAGGTACACTAATTTTGAAACCAAGCGTCAAATTTACAGCATAAATAATTTTATAAAGAACTAAATTAAATGGTTCATCTCCGATATGAAAATAAATAAACTTAATACTTTTCAATAAGAAAGTGAATTGTGCTCAAAGCTAGGTAGAAAGAAAAATATTCCTAAATTTTTTAATATAAGTAAAAATGTGATTTTAGTTTCTCGAACTTGATAGTTTTTCAAAAGATGGTTGTTTCAATCACAAGTTCAACAAGTCTTAAAGTAAGTATATGTATCTTGCATGAACAAAACTTCAGATTCATAATTAAACATAAAGTATGATTATTTTGTTTTAACTGCAAATCTTTTTCGTCGCGAGTAATCGCATGATTCAACTACAAAGTTAAGTCGTCACCATTTAAAATTGTATATTTTGTGACAAGTTTTTTTTGTAACTAAATTATAGGTTAATTAGAGAAAGTAAAATAATTGTCACTAATTATTTGCACTATTGGTGACAAAAATAAAGGTCACAATTAAATATAAAATTTTATGGCTAAAGTTCACAATTTTTAGCTACTAATTCTAATTCGTCGCTATTGTAGCAGCATATTTTTTGTGACGAAACTTTTTTGTCTCCAAACTTTACCTAATTCTAAGACAAATAATGGTTCGTCGCTAATTGGGTACATCATTAGTGACAAAATAATGTGTCACTGATAACTTTAAATTTGTCGCTAATATTACTCAATAAATGGCGCCAACTCATTTTTTGTGGGAAACTTTAGTGGACAAAACTTTGCTACGAAATTTTATGTTTCGTCACTAAAACTGTGTGGTTCATGTATTTAAAGACGAATTATATTTTTTGTCAAAAAAAATAAACAATTAGTGACGAATTTTGTGTTGTAGCTAATAATTTCGTAGCTAAATATCACATTTGTTGTAGTGCCGAAAGGTATAACTGGGCACGGGTTAGCCCCCAAGCTCAAGAAAAAACTCATTAATTTTCTTAAAGCTAACGTAAATTGTTTCACTTGGTACCATCTTGACATGACAGGGATCCCACCTGAGGTAACTACTCATAATCTAAGTTTGGAACTAAAGTTCCACCCGGTTAAACACAAGAGGAGACCCCAGTTCGAGGTCAAGCATGCATTCATCAAGGACGAGGTATCTAAACTCCTTAAAATAGGGTCCATTCGGGAAGTTAATACCTGGACTGGTTAACTAACGTAGTCGTAGTGCTTAAAAAAGGAAATAAGCTAAGAATATGTGTAGACTACAAAGACTTGAACAAGGCGTGCCCTAATGACTCTTTTCCTTTGCCTAACATCGATCACATAATCGATGCGAGAGCCGGGCACGAGATACTCAACTTTCTCGATAACTATTCCGGGTACAACCTTTCGGATGGAACCATA